AAACAGTTCTTTTTTAGAATCTGTAGAAACAGTAGAGGATAACTGCAATTAAACAGTCATGGATTTGTACTGCTTTAAGACAAGTGTCTTGTAGCCAGAGGTCCTTATCTGTCTTCTTGTGTACTTCTACAGGTTTTTGCCTTTGATCACTGCTTCTGGTCCATGGATGAATCAAACACCACAAAGTATGCAGGTAAACTATTTTCTGTACATTTGACAATGTAAAGAATTTGAGAACATATGAGAACTTGGGCTTTTGTTTTGTGGGTTTTTTGGGTTTTGTACTGTGATGCTCAAGTGACTTCTTTGTAAAAGCAGACTGCTCATTTTCACAGAGATTGAGTCATCAGAGTGCTAGCACCCCGGTTTAGAAGGAATGCAAGCTTTAAGGTGCCCAGTGCACTGTTCAGGAGGGATGCTTTTACCTCTAAAAATAATGTTCTTTTTCTATCCCCTGGAAGAGCCTCTTATGAGAGTTGTTTCTGTCACTTAAAATGAAATTTCAGGCCTGCATTAGAAATTACTTCTGACTAATGCTAGTGGTGAAGGCATGCATTTTCAGTGCTCTGCGTTCCTGTGCACGACAGAGGAATAAAGCATGTTCTCCTCGGATGGTGTGGCTATTTCAGGTCTTTCAAGTCATTCATAGTCTGATGGATCAGATCCCTAGTGTTTTTCAGTGATCAGCTTTGTGACTCTTTCCTTGCGAAAGCTGGGTAATCCAGATAGGATTGTAATCCCAGGGGTTAGTTTTCTCACAACTGGATTTGTGTATTAGCATATTCATACTTTATAAGAGGACTCATTTTGATAGAGGCAGATCTGAACACTGGAGTTTCAAAGCTGTGGTCCGTGGAAAGGAGAAAAAAATAGCATTCAGTTTAGGTACTGATACTATGAAATTTTGTGGCCCCTAAGAAATTTTGAAGGTTGGTAGGGTTAATTAGCTCAAAGTTTGAGATCAGTGGTCTAGTAAATGAACTATCATATACTTGTGCTAAAATATATCTCTGATTGCTGTAGCCCCTGGTGTCAGATCCCAGGTCTGAGGGGTTGCACTTCATCATAGATTCCACTGTATTTCTTACTTGCCTGAGCAAAGATCCTGGTTTCTTCAGGAAGGCAGTTGTGTGTCGGGTCGTCTTTCAGTAATTGTTTGCACTGAGCAGGTGCACGGTGTGATGTTCACAGTTCAGGCTGGTAGAGCCACTGGCGCATGCAGCACTTCCTGTTGTGCCTGTACACTTCTGTTTCCTTTTGAAGAAAGGAGGTGGTGGTACGCACCCCAATCTTGGCCCCGTGTGCCCCGAATGTGCAGGTGGGAGCTGCACCTATTGGGTTCACCATGGTGCCAACCCACTGGTAGAGAGGCAGACCAGAGAAACACCCCTAACCGGTTAAACTTGTTTCTGGCTTGGTTTGACCCATCTCCAGATGAATTCAGTGGGATCCTAGGTCTGTTTATTTTTAATTTGAATCAAAACTACATTTCTTTAGCCTATTTCAGAAGTTGCCATTCATCTTACACGAGAACTGAAGTTTTATTAGCTCTATGCAGATGAACCTCTTGTTTGACTGGATTCTAGAAAGCTGTTGCCTGCATCTCTTGCATTTTCTTACTGGCCAGAGAGCTAGCTATAAGGTGGGGATTTTTGTCCATTACAGATAATGTTTCTGACGGTGGAAAAAACCCAAAACTGTTTTCCTTGTTTTTTTGCAGAAATATGCTAAGACTGTGAGCATAAGACTGGCATATGAAAAACAATGCTTTCACTGATTCTTTTTTTTTTTTTTATGTGGTCTTGAAGTTAACTTATGACTTCAGCCCTTGTGTTCTAGAACATAACGAATTTGGCAGAATATCAAAATAAAAGTTAAAAAAATCCCAAAACTATTTCAGGCCTAAGTTACTGGGTTGTTGGTTTGTTCACTTGCTTGTGCATGAACTGATCCTATCCCATACTGCAGCAGCGTTTCTTGTTTTGGAGCCAACAAACCAAATGCCAAAATGGCAAGATTTCAGTTTTTATGTACGTGTAGCGTTAAGGTGCCCTAAGTCTCTTTCACAGCGTGGCCTAAATCACTGTACTATACAAAAAAACCCACGATAACTGGTTTCGGTTGGGTTTTTTGATAATTCCTTTGCCTTGTGGAACAAACACCCAGTTGTCCTAGGTGTCCTGCAAATATGCGTGTTGCCTATGTCCAGGGGTCGTACCAGAGACTGTTACAGAATTAACAAGCAAAGAGTCCAAACAAGCCACCTGACAACCTGACTTTTTTGAGCTAAACTGTAATTTCTTGACTGGATGCTGGACTACAGAAGGGGTGCTGAGCTGGAAGCTAGACAGACGCATGAAGTCCTCCCTACCTGAAGGAACTGTATGTGGATGTAGAAGTTTAACGTCATTGGCAAGAGCAGTAATTAGTTGCACAAATAAAAGGAAACATGTAGAAAGCTTGATAGCTAAGTCCAGAGTGCTTGTAAATGTAATATATGAGCTTCAAGCTGAAGTAAAATTCTTGAAATAAAAAAGGTATGCGAGACAGATGGAATTACTGGAAAAACCCTTTTATCTGCGTCACAAATAGAGTGGAAGATGCAATAGTGAAAGGTTTAACAAGAGATTCTCAAGTACTAGGCTACCCTGTCTGTCATTGCTCTGTGCAGAACCAATACATGCTCAGCTTGCGTTAGGTTGAATAGATCCGTTGCTGTGTATGTCGTACTATATGAAAGGGTTTGTTGATTGACAGGTGGGACCTCGGAAAATCCACAGCATGGTGTGCGCCACAGACAACACAGGTCTGAATTCTGTGTTGATTTATGTGGATAACTCTCCCATGTTTGTGGTGTTGGTTTTGTTGGGTTTTTTTTTAATGTCAACAAAACCAAAGTTTGTGCTCTCGTGGAAATGCACCTTTGTTACAGGCTCCTGAAAGCTATCACACGTGATTATGGGCTGGTTTTATTTTTAACTTTGCTGATTGATCACAATACTGCTAGCACTTATTAATACTGTTTGGACAAGAGCAAGACTCTTGTTTGGCTAGACTTAATCGCATGGGTAGTGGGAGAGCACGGCTGACCCTGAAATGGGGCCATCTCATTCTCTTACACTAAACTCGTTCTGTGAGTTATCGTCACCTTTTTTTTGGCTGAAGCTAAGGCTTACTTTGTATGTACGAATTTTTTTTTCTGCACTCATATTTATGGGGATAGTTGCTGTGAAGAGCTAATGCTGTGTATTTAGTTTCTAACTTACATTTCAATAACTCCATTTGCACAAAAAGTTAAACGCTCCTCTCTGCCCCCCCCCCCCAGTCACAGTACAGAAGTAGGCTGTTGATAGCAGAATTTGCTTTTTTAGCAATTTTTTTTTTCATTAAAGTGGAAATTGGGTTCTAAATTCTAAAATGATCCAGTAATATCACTAACAAATAGTGACGGTTACCTTTATGTGAGGAAAAACATCTATAGAGGGCATCTTTGCAGCTGTCCTTGCAGGCTTGCATCTCTCATGAAGACAGCAGGGAGTCTGGAGCACAAAGGAGGAGCAAGCTTTTTCACAAGACCTGTGTGGGAGTGATGCTTTGGTTTCAGATTCTGCGAGAGATGGAGGCTCTTTAACGACCTGAGATTGTGAGATGCAGAACCCCCTCTGAATTGCTCTGAAGACTGAGAGTGAAATGTTCATATTAAAGTGGATTTTTCTGTTTGTAATCCAACCAAATAACAGGTAGAGGGCTACTCCAAATACTGAGGCTGTGTGTCTCCGAACAAGTTGTGGCTGCGTTGTTCCAAACAAGAAATGGTTACAGACCTCTGGGTTTGTGCTGGTCATCACATGCTGGCTCCTGGGTCTCTTTTTTGGTGGTTTGATTCTGAAGGATGTAGTTGGGTGCTTGGCAAGTATATGAGCCTCTTACCTGAAAGGACAGAAAAAACAGCCAAAAAACCCAAACCAAACAAAAACCCAACCAAAAATGGGTCAATGAAATAGATTTTTGAGGAGGGAGGGGAAGCTGGTTATAGGACAGAATGAGTTTGCCTTCATCTGGAAAAGGGATGAGCTTTGCCTGGTAGGCTGTAGGAGAGATGTTTTGGGAGTATGCAAAATAGCTTCTGATTGCTGTTTGTTTCTTGACTTGAATGGGTCAAGAGTCAGTTCGTGGAGAAGGACACACCTGCTTGCCTTGAAAAGCTCACAGCCAGGAGTAACAGCTAGGCATTCTGGGGAAGGAGAGGACACTGAGAAATTCTGAGAAGAGAACAAAGAATTCTTTTTAGGAAGGAACCTAGACAACAGTAAGAGCTTACTGAATTCTGCAGTGAAGTGGATTTTTAAAGGGAAGGAAAGAAACCCTTCAGTTTGGGAAGGATTCAAGACATCGTCTAAATAACTACAGTAGCACTTGGCTCCATTCCAAGGACCCCACGCTGTACTGAACTGACGATGGATTTTTCTTAAAATCTTTAAGCTGCATGATGTTCGGCCTGAAATTTCAGATCTGTGTTTCTGCAGGATACATTGTCCTGAGAGGCTAAACACCTGACTTTGGGCTAAGCTTGAATTTCATATGAAATGTGTATGTGCTGACTACTGCTGTTCCAGTGGCTGTTTCGAAAGGAAACAAACTAGGCAGGTGGCTTCTACCGCACTTCTACCCTTGTGAAAGATTGCAAATTGTGGATTTTGAGCAGGCAGGAGTGTCTGTTTGTAGTTCAGGCCTGCCCATTTAAGCTGTTATGTGGGAGAAGTGTATCACTGTCTTACTGTTCCCTTGACTGTTTTTAGAGGGCACGCTACATAGTACGTAGGACTTAATTTTGTGTCACACAGCTTATGCCTGACCTGTACACTTTTTTTGAGGAAATTTAATTATTCAGTATGGTTTTAATACTGTGCAGGTCAGGCACTTCAAACGTGAATGCTGCAGTGCCTAGTTTGAAGTGCTCAAGACCTCTCATTGGATTAAAGCTTAGAATTTAACTTTAAGAGGTTTAAGACTCCGGTGCTTTGTCAATACTGGAGTGTTAGGCTGTGATAGTTGGATGATGCTAGCTGTTGTGCTTTTGGGTTCTTTTTAAGGTGAACCATAGACATCTTTTTTCCCAGTTTTAGAGCGATTCTTTTAAAACGTTATCTAGTAGAACTTCTAATAATTCTGATCTCCGCAGACTGAGTTTTATGTTAACTATTAAGTCGTGGAACCAACTGCAATTTCTTGCTGTCAAGATTTGTTTATTAAAATGTTCTGGGTTAGAGATTAAGCCATAAAGAGACTTGAATTTTCAGTGCTGTACATAAGAAGTTGTCACTTGGTTCTAGCTATTTTTGCCATGTAAGGGAGGGGGTTCAGGAGCGGCAGCGATGTGTCATCACATTGCAGTCGTGACCTGGCTGAAGGAATCTCTGCTAGATGAGACAGTGATCCCTGTTTCAGATCGAGGGGTTGTTGTGGACTAGAAATGCTAGACATCTGGAAAACAGACACTGAAACCGATTTTTGTTACAGTATATCTTGAATGTGTTTGTCGCTAAACCAACAGATCTTAGGAAAGACTGCAACTGTTAACTGTCTTTTTTAAAAGGGAGTTTTGGAAAGGGTGTGGTGCTTTTTCCTCCCCTCCCTTTTCTTCCGTCTGCTATCTGTCACCAATCTACTGAGCTGAGAGTGTATAAGCTGTATTTGTAAATGTCATTGGCCTCATCCTGCAAATTTTGAGAACAGGTCCTAGGGCTTCTCTGCAACCTGTGGGTTTCCCTAGGAACGCTGTCAAATCGGATCTCCCAATCAGGGCTTCAGAAAATGTAAGGGAATGATTTGGAGGAAGAAAAGGGGAAAGAGCATAGAGATACAAGAGAGAGAAGACTTAAATATCTCATTCTGATAATGATGTGTGTTGTAGTGTTCTTGCATGTCATGGTATTGATTTATCTTTGTGTTTTCGGGGAATTTTTATTATCTTACATATTTTCTGAATTTAAATGTTCTGATAATTCATGCTGGCTCAGATTCCAACTAAGATTTTCAGTTAGAGCTCTTTGGGCAGATAATGTGAACTTTTTATTTTTGGAATTATTAATAACTTAATAGCCATTATTAACACATACACTGCCATACTTTGCTACCTTTACTTTTGTTCTTATTTTTACCAATGAAATACCCAGCCATTTCAGTAGGTAGAGAACATGTGAAAAAACTTTTTAGCTTCAAAGTGCTATACTCAATGCCCTTGCTGCATAGTAATAGCACAAGCATTTGAAAGTTCCAGGAATTTATGTAGGTTAAAATGTAAATCTGAGAGGAGAATGGGTTTCCTTTAGCTTTCAGATAAGTCATAGATACTGTTTCAAATGCTGAAAGCTTCAATATCTTTAGTATGGTTATGGCTAAAAGAGGTGTTTATTATCTCGGTTTATGTGCTTATGGCAGAATGTCTGAGCATGTCAGGAGTGCTGAACATGTGAAAATCTTCAGTCCTAAGAGCTGACGGAAAGATTCTTGGATTGGTCTCCTGCTGGAAGTGGCCTTCTGAGATCCTGAGTTATTCATTTGCTCTTTCTTAGGTATTTTCTTTTTTCTGCTGTTGGTGTCAGGCTTGCAGTTGTGCTTGCCAAAATGCACAGATAATGTCCTGAAGCTATGAAGGCAGTTACAGCTGTCTGGTGAAAGTAGAAAAGGTTTCTGTAAAAGATTTCCGTGTTGTTGTGACATTGCTTTCCAGTATGTCTTCAGAACCGAGTGGACATCTATCCACCAGTGTTTCTCACATTTCGATTAGCAGAGCGGCGCTATCACTGGGTTAATGAGGTTTCCCACCTTGCAGCGTTGGGGGCGGTGCCACGTGCTGTCACTGGAGTTACAGAGCATCCAACAACACTGTCTGATGATCTTTCTCACTGCATGATTCCAGGTTAACTGTATTGCTTCTTAGAGGAAACAAGATTATTTAGACTGTGGTCTGCAAGAAAAATTCACCAGGCTTTGCTCCCCTTTCCTCGAAGAGATGGGCAGGCGGGAGATCCCGGCTTCGGAGAATTAGCAGCTTGTACACTTGCTCTGGGCTCCCTGGTGGCCTCGGGTATGCTTTCCCTGACCTGATGGCCTGTGCGTCAGGCACCTAAGGCTTGCCGGTTACTATAAACGTCACTCTTTAGTGACCCATTTGTCTAGGTTTGTATTACTGAGCTCTTAAAAACTGTAATAAACCCACCATTTTCGAACTATGTGTCAGTGTCCGATTGACTTTCAGTTTTAGTGTCGACTGTTTGAAAATTAAATCTCTTCTGAAAAAAAATCCAGCTTTGCCTGTGAGATTTGAACTGGGTTCCTTTCCCAGTATGTAGCAGTAAGAAATTCTGTAGGTCATCTTACGGTTCTCATGACTGTGCACAGTTTTATAACATTTTGATACCTGTTTTTTCTTGGGAAACGTGGAGGAGGTTACTGTTTTATTGCTGATCAGAAGTGGGTGATAGAAGGTTTTTTCTTTTTCTGACAGATGTTAGAAATGACAAATTTCTTTGTCCACTCACAATCATTGTGGAATATGTATGCTTTTCTCTCTTAATAATTAAACTCAGCTTGAATCTTTGCTTGATTTTGTGTTCTTGTTCAGCAACATAGTAGGTGGTTCCCTGCCTCTTTGATATTTGGTAACTTTAAAATGTGCTCTCAGGAGCTGTTTGGAAAGCAAATTTTTGTGTATTGTACTTTTTCATTAAAATCTTCTGCTGATACATTTTATTCATTGATTCCTCAGTAGTTTAACATTGTTATAGCTGTTTCCAGGTTATCAAACAGTGCTCTCTCAATGTAGACCTAAAATGATCAAATGATCCTCAAGCGAATGAGAAGTGAAGGAAATGTGCATGGGCAAGGAGACGAAGTTATTCCAGAATACAGCAATTTCTCCCCTGGTTTTAACTTCTGTATTCAGAATTTCTGAACTGTGTTCATCCAAGGAGCAGGGACACTTTAGAATTTTAGAAATTCAATGGGAAAGATACCCAAAGACTATTTGATAAGGCATTGCTGCACTAGTGATTCCTTTACAGCAGAAGAGAAATGAGGTAAAAGGAAAAAGAAGTAACGTACTACTCTTTAGCCATATTTGCATGTCTGTAAATCATTCCACATATTGTTCTACAGGAATTTTCTGGTCTACCAATTACTCAAGAATCATAGGGTGTAAATATTCTCATGCAATGTATAAAGGTATAGCTAGATTTTTTTTTTTATGCCAGTATGTTCCGTTTTGAGAAATACAGAAGTCACTATTGCATCCACTGTACAAAATAATTTCTTTTAACTGACAACTGCTGAAACTAAATTACCAAAATGAGGGATGCAGCTAACCATAACTGTTCAGAAAGTCACTGGGCAGTGAATGTAAGTTTAAAACCAAACACCAGAAGGTGTATAAATACTGTCCTTAGCTCAGCCCTGCTTCTTTTGGGTGTGCTCACAGCTGGTGTAGTTCTGTGATCAGAACTCCAAGCAGACCAACCCTCTTTGTGGTGTACAAATTCTGGACTTTCCTATTAAAAAACCCCAGAAGCATTATGCCTATTTTCATCTTCCACATCTAAGAGACTGATGCACTTCTAAAATCTGCGTGGCACAGGGAGACATTTTTCAGACTATGAAATTCTGCAGCTGAGGTTTCAAACTATGGATCTGCCAGAATATATCCTCAAACAGCTCTGAAGTCTCGCAGCCTCCTATTACGCATTTCCTCCCTAAATGTCATCGGAATGCTTTTATCTTGGTTCCAGCATCACCTTGCCATGGGTTGAATCATAATAGCTTACAGTGAAACTTGGGGCCCATTCCCAGGACAACTACTACTACTATTTCTAGCAGGGTATTTGTTGTACCTGTAATGTCCTAGTTTGCTAATGGGTTTCATTGTAATTCTGTTACAGAACTCTTTTGGGTATAGTTTGTAATTAAAGAATGTATGTTAATTGCAAAATTTACACTTAAATAATACAGGATTTAGACATCTGTTATTTTCTAAGCATTGAACTTATATGACACATCTCGAAGAACTGCTCCCTTCACAGAAAAATCAGCAATATATTTAAACACAGGTTAGCTGTTACACTAGTTTCATGCAACAGTTTTGAACTTGTCACTCAGCTGTACATGAAATCATTTGTTTGTTCATCAGTGCGCTCAATAGTAAAAAATAATTTGCAAACTTTTTTTTTCCCTTGCTTTCAGTAAATTTTAGTCTATTATTCAATTTAAAATAAACTTAAAAATAATTATTTTCTAGGTCAAGAAGTGGTGTTCAAGTGCCTTGGAGAAGGAATTCTTGAAAAGGCCTTTCAGGGATATAATGCTTGTATTTTTGCCTATGGACAGACAGGTGAGTCTCCTGTGCCAAAGGGACAGAATGCCTTTTGTGCACATGGGAAGTGGGAAGAAGAAAACATAAATACTGAACTAGATAATATTTTTAAATTGTATTTTGAAATATCATGTTAAATGTCAAACATTTAGCATGCCCAGTGACAATGTAAAGTTTTTGAAGCAGCTGTGTAAAAAAGTTCCTAGTTAGTAAGTGTTGAGTCCACTTTCAGAGCTGGAAAGGATAGTTCTTATTGATGGTTCATTCTGTCTTTGTGTTTGAGTGTGTTCAGAGGGGTCGCAAGTAATGGCCCTGCTGAAAGAAACCTGTAAGATAACTTCTAATTTCTTTACATGTACCTTGTAGTCCGAAGAGCAAGCTGTCTGTCTGGAATAGCATGTCATGTTGTTCTGAAACGTGCTTCTGGAGGAATAAGAAGAGAATTAAAACATCTGCTTCATAAACAAAGGAGTAGTTCAAACTACATTCTAAAGCATTTTCTTCTCCATTTTTCCTTTAGGTTCAGGAAAATCCTTTTCAATGATGGGCAATGCAGAGCAGCTGGGTCTGATCCCACGGCTCTGTTGTGCTTTATTTCAGAGAATCTCTGTAGAAGAAAATGAATCTCATACTTTTAAAGTTGAAGTGTCCTACATGGAAATCTACAATGAGAAAGTGAGAGATCTGCTTGACCCAAAAGGGTGAGTAGCTTCACTCTCCCCCACAGCCTTCCTTATTTTTGTCTCAAACTATAAAAGTAGAAATCACTTTTGGAAGCCCTTGAGAAGGTTTTTTTCAGTGTATGTTTATACAACTTCTTTAGAAAGGATTAGATACCAAACACCAGAAAGAAGAGAATATCTGTGTAAAGCTTGTATATGAAATGGTAACTGTCATGGATCAATTTAAACATTAGGATACCATCATAATGATGCAAACAAAAACTGTATGAAGTAGTTTACCACCAGAAGGCAAGACTATGTGCAAGTAAATTCTGGGTTGTTTTTGCCATATGATCCAGACCATATTCGGGTAAGAATTTTCATCAACTAGGAGTTTGAAGCTTATTTACAACTTGGTTCTCATGGTTTAGACATTGAACTTTTTGAATGTGGAAGGGTGACACCTCAGAGTATACTCTTGGTACCTGTTCTTCTGTTTTGTCTGCACAAAAGTACTGGTTAGGCTCTCTGGCTTGGAGATGTCTAGACAAGAGATAGTTTGAGAGGTCTTTTTCAACTGAGCATTCATATATGTGGTATATGTTTTGGTTCTTGAGCATAATTGCACTAGGTGAAAAAGGTGCAAGTTGCTTAAAAAGGTGGATTTGAGACTTACTTTTGATATATGTCAATAAAGTGTGGAAAACGCAAGAAAAGTTGAAGCTTTAGCAAATTGCTGGGAAGAGGGGAGAGGATTTTTTTTTTTTCCTTTTTTGTCAGCATTCTTTCTGCCGAATAAGGCATTTCAGGTTTTGTTCCAGCCACAGATACTGAAGTGGGAGGATACATTAAAAAATAATTCATGTATATAAATTAAAACCGGTTAGATTAATTTGAGTCTTTATTGTTAATTCAAGTTAAAAAGAGTTCTGGAAGACTTTTTTCCTCCTGTTACAATTAAAAGACATAAATTGACTTCTGCTATGTAGAAGATTGTTATAATTTCATACTATAATTCTTGTTTTTCAATAAGATTCACACTAGTGGATTGTGCATAAAGTCTACTTTATTCCATAGGAGTCGGCAGTCCCTGAAGGTTCGAGAGCACAAAGTGCTGGGACCGTACGTGGATGGCCTGTCTCAGCTGGCTGTTACAAACTTTGAGGTAAAACTAAACCAATGACAAGTTTAGCAATAACACCTATGTACATAAGCAATAGGAAACTCAGGAAAGGTAACCTAGTGTCTGTCCAAACATTTTGATTCTAAGTGTTCATGGTCTCCGGCAATCGCAAAGATCTTCTCTAAAGTTTCACGAGTATTCATTTCATGTAGAAGCATTGGATTTGCCTTTATGTTAAAAATTTAATAGTATACCTGTTTTGCAGTTTTCGATGCATGTAGTATACGTCAAGAACACAATGTTTTCTTGATGCAGGAGGCTTCCAAAATAAGTGTGTTAATCTTCTAGCATGAGTTCCTTTGATTGTTGAATGTGACCTCTTATTTTAAACAGGTATATTGCATGAGGAACTACAATGTGGCCTATATAATTCATAATTTAAATCTTGACAGTATCTGAGCCCACTTGAGTTACTAAAACACATTCAAATAAATCAGTATTATAGAAGTCAACGAACTATAACTACAATGGAAATAATTAAAGTGGTGCAGTTGTATGAATTGCATAGGCCTTCCTATTTATAAGGAAGCTGATGTGGAAATGTTGTTTTTTAAAAAGAAGTTCATTCTTTGTGTAGTATTTTATGGGAACCGTTTTGCTTTTCTATGGGGATTTTTATTTTTCTGGAGCATGCGTGCATATTAGAGCAGAACAGCTGTTTTGAAGCTTTTGTGGTGAGTTGCATACTTTGAAGCATATCTTATTTGTTCAAATTATAGCGAATTTTGTTCATACCTAGTTTCTGGTTGATGTCTTTTATGAAACTGTTTTGGAAGACTCAGCAAGCACATGTATCAGATTCTGCATAATTGTCTTTGTTTTTACATATGTGGGAAGGTACAGATTCCAAGTGAGGTAACCCTTTGAGCCAATTAAGTGAAGATAGTGCAGTTCAGTAGACGCATTGTGTTCACTTCTGTAAGTAAATCTGTGCTGACCTGATTGCTGGCATTAAACAGTATGATCTCTGAAGTGGATGATGCCAACGTGTTTCAGCAGCAGATAAGGAGAAGATGCTTTGGATGTTGTTGCTGGGCTTTCAAGTGTAGTGTTTAAAACAGAGATGCGGTTTAATGTTGTTTAGTGGAATTACATACCCACCGTACCGATACATCTCAATGTGCAAAGAATTTTCTCGTTATTTCTATGTTTCCTTCTTCCCCTCTCCCACACGTACACACCCTTCCATCTAGATGGGGATTTTGTTCAGCAAGCACAGTAGTTGCTTTTATCCTAACATCGGTTTTTACTCTTTTTGCTCTAGGATATTGAGTCACTGATGTCGGAGGGAAACAAATCACGAACAGTTGCTGCAACCAACATGAATGAAGAAAGCAGCCGCTCTCATGCTGTATTCAACATTATAGTGACTCAGACGCTTTATGACCTGCATTCTGGTGTATGTGTTTCTGTTGATTAACTTAAGAATTTATGGCGAATTCTTCTTCCCTCCTTTTCCACATATATGCAATCTGTTTAGCTGTGCTTCTGCCTCTAATGCCATGGGGTTTACAATACAATCAAGTATTGGCAAGAACCTAAGATGGAGAGAACCCTGGAAGAGTGAGGAAGCACACCAGATAAAGCAAACAGTTGGGTCACTTTTTAAGATTATGTTGCCACCATGAAACCTGCCTTAGTTCTTAACGGTTGCTGCAGTTGATATGTTTTAGTGGCCTACTCTGCCAGTAAGGTTATTGATGTTACCACACAGCCAATTCTGATGTATTAGTGCTTCACCCTTTACTATAAAATGTGGGTGACTCTCTTTAAGAGCTATAAAAACTCTGACAATTCCTTCTTCTCTCATATCTGGAATTTAATACTTGATAATGAAGCCACATTATTAAGAACAGTGTTTCACGGTGCCAGTGTTAGCGCTTTGTGCCAGTGTTCCTTAGCTGTTGTTCTCCCGTGTTATATCTGCACAGAATTCTGGAGAGAAGGTCAGCAAGGTCAGTCTGGTGGATTTGGCTGGGAGTGAGAGAGTGTCCAAAACGGGAGCTGCAGGAGAACGTCTGAAGGAAGGCAGCAACATAAACAAGTAAGACATTGTCATAGACAGGTTGCAAAGCTTAATTTTGTAAGAATGACTGTGTTTCCTTGGCTTTCTCTCTTAGTGTGCTTGCCACAAGTCAGTTCAGATGACGGACCTCATCAGAAGCAGTTCAATATGGCTCTTTCCGCTGCTGTGTGCTGAACACCATGTGTTTCTTCACATCGGCGCAGGGACCCTGATTCATACTTGACTCAGATGAGGGCTACAAGAATTTTATCTGGAAAAAGTGACAGCAGTGCTTTTTAATTAAGCATATACCTCTTGTGATTCATTTATACACCCTGTCCCCAGGCTTATGTGTTTGTCTCATCGTCTGCTTAAGGAAATCATGCAAAGTTGCAGAGTTGAATAGCTTTGTTCCAACACATATTAAAATACGTAAGAGTATAATTTGCAGTTTAAGAAAACCAGATCAGAATGAAGCTGTGTTAGTTTAGCATTGCCTTGGGCATTTGTACTCAAGTAATGACAAGTTTCTAGTCACTTTTTTACCTTAATAACTGTGTTATTGCCCAAAAGCAAGAATTTACTATGCTATTACTGCTGTCTTAAATGTACTAATTTTCATGGGAAAGAAAGAGTTTAACTGTTACGTTAAAAGCTACTGCTTTTTCAATTTGATTTTAAAATGTTACAAAAGGTTTTGATATTTTAAGTTAACAATGACAGCATAGAGTGTGTTTGAATAGCATTCATGCTTAAAATCGTTTTAAATTAATCTCTTTTTAGAGTTTGAATATGTTTGCTCTTTCTAGCTTAATTTCTAATCCACTTTGTGTTTAATGCATTATACTGGTAGCCACGCTGGCATAGTGCTTGTGAAACAAAATGATGTGGCTCTGTTTCCCTAATGGCAGGTATTATACCTTTATCCCACAGGCTACCAGTTAAATTCAGATTGGTTTTGCTAGAAACTGTATTTGTATTTTGCATAAACAAAAGGTGAGATTAAATATTCCTTTCTAGATCTTGGGGAAGAATTCAAATGCCAACTCTCCCAACAGCTGTCAACAAACTGCAAGCGTAGCTACAGATAACAAAGACTTCCCTTTTTTTTTTTTCTATTAGAATATTTACTCAGTCTTAAACTTCTAGGGCATTGATGTAGTAAGGGAAGGTTATTTTGCCCATGCTGAACATGTTTGTCAATACAGGACTTCAGAAACAAGCACCAAACTTTTCTGTAAAAGATATTTTAAAAACCAAAGTGGACAGCTCTACATTTTCCTATCAATTAGATTTTGATATGGTGTAAATCTATATTACTTAGTCCATTTATTAAGCATTCTTTATTTGCAATCTCTTCTGGAACTGATAGGCAGGAGAATTTGTTGTGCTGTGCTTGGTGTCTTCTGTTAGACTTTTGCTGCTACTTGGAGCTTTTATAAAGTCAGCCTTACTGGAAGCCTCAAAACTGGTATACATGGTTTAGTAGACTAATTCTTCATAGAACATTGTGTATGGTCTTCTTTTGAGTGGGATGCACCTTACTTAATAGGGAAAGGCAATAATCTTTTCTGGAGTAATATAGAATATTTAAACCATATACCTTAATACGTTGGCTCCTTTTTAAATTTTTTTTTTATTCTTTTATAAAAAAGCAATAACGTAAATTGGTACCATGCACTTTGTTCAATGAGATTAAAAAATGGAGCTGCTGAAGTTACCTGGCAAATAAATTTGCTGCTTGTGCTATGTTTATTGCCTTGAAGAAGAATCTGGAAATAACATACCTGTTTATGTATTTATAAACAGGGAAAATGTATGCTGAACTGTGCATACCAAAAAATGCATAGTGTGACATTCAACCAGTCTCTGTGGGTTTCTGTGCTCTTTGCTTTCTGCATGAAACCTGACTAGGGCTCTGGCAGCTGGTGCTTCTGTCCCACAGCTCATGCTGTTGTAAACTCTCTTTCCTGTCTTGGGACAGCATGTTGCAGAGGGAAGGCGAGGGATTGCTCTCCCACTGACTGCAACAACGGAAAGTGGTGTTGCTTTGTTAACATCTTCATAAAGTTGTAATAAAAATTACTTCTGTTTTTTCTCAGAGCTGATGCAGAGGTGCCTTGGTGAAGGCGCTGGGCGTCTGCTCTTTATTATCGATGTTTTTGGGAGACTTGCCATACCTCATAGGAAAGCTGGATGTGCTTGTTCCTCCTCCGGATGTGCGAGTTCCCATACTGAGCATAGACACGCAGGTGCTCAACAGCTCTTTGTGGTGTAGTCAGAGAACTTCTAGAATATAACAGTAGGAGGAGGGTGTCAATTAGTGGCTAAGAGAAAAACTTTCTGTGAGCAGTCTGCAATTTTAACTATGATTAGTAAAATCATAGCTGTTGTCATTTTAACTTGAGAATGCAAAAAGAAGCCTTTAAAATGTAGAATCATAGAATAGTAAGGTTTGGAAGGGAGCTTAAAGATCATCTGGTTCCAACCCCCCTGCCATGGGCAGGGACATCCTTCACTAGACCAGGTTGCTCAGAGCTCCATCCCACCTGGCCTTGAACACTGCCAAGGAGGGGGCATGTAGGGGAAGGGAAGGCATGGGTTGGGACAGGTCTGGCTCCAAGCTGATTTTAGGGAGGGTTTTTGTATTTAGAGTTAACTAATAGAAAAGTGGATTCTGCTCATTGGAGAGATCGGTTGTAAATTGTACAGAGGTAGCTTGAGTGGGTGTCATTTAGGGACAGAGCTCTTCCCTGGGGTGAGGAAGCACCACCTCCCCTAAAATGGTGCGAGCTCGGGCCTGTGGGTGGGAGTGTGCGAGCTTCCCGCCGTTCCCCAGCAAGGGCAGCCTGGGTGGGCGTGGGGAAGGGGGGCAAGAGCCAGGGAGTGTGCAGAAATGGCACCTTCCCGTGCTCTTCCACCACCTTGGCTTGTTCTGCTGCTTCTGGGCTGCCTCAGTCCGCCGTGCGCTGACGGCTTGGGTTGACTCATTATACAAGCAGCGCGAGATAGGATCAAAGTAATGATGGATCTCTGATGCATCATTTAGCATGAAGGAAAGCAGCCGATGAGTCCTGTAATTACTTCGTGGCGCAGTAAATTTCTTTTACTGCTTTCCTTGAAGTATTTAAACAGCTTTGTATTATGAAATCCCAAGCAGAATACAGAAGTGACTCCAGTTTGGCTTTTATTGCAGATGTTAACAGTTAGTCTTAAAATAAAATCAGTATTTATAAGGAGCTGAAATATTATCACATCTTTTAATCCTGTGTTAACAGACTGTAGCTTATGATTTCCTGTTCATTAAAATACAGCGCTCATAACTCAAATTGGTGTTGCAGCCCTACTGTGAAATAGTGTCCAGTTGTAGGCCTTTCTGAACCCCTGTTCTGCCCAACCCCCTTCTGAGTGTCCTTTTCCCCCTCCCTCAGTTTCTGGCTTTGGTTTTTGTGTTTCGCCTCATTTAAAGAGGGAAGGAGGAAGTGAGGCAAAAGAGGCTAGGGTGACTTTTTAACATCATGCTCCTTGAAGGTGGACTCCATTGGGAGCATGCGGGTGGTGCTTTTCAGTTGTGCTGTGGGAGGTTGCTGCGGAGCAGCATGCAACATCCTCCTGTTTGCTCTCACATGTTTAGCATGCTGTCATCTCTCTCTGTGGAGACCAGAGACTGGAGGCAAGAACCAGTTCACCCCCACCCTGCCAAGCTTCCAGAGGTTGTTAGGCTCTTGTTCAGGTCACAAACTATAACTAGCTGTCCTTTTTGCTGTGAGTTTTTCAGAGGTGAATTGGAAAGTTACCCTATAGACAAATTTATGAAATGGTGCTCTCTTAGGAGATCCAATTGCCTATCCTCTCCTTAAATTTCTTTTAATTTTGCTTTCGGGTCTGTGCTGTCTTCATACCACTTTGTGCTACATGCAGTATGGGATGTCTTCTACGACATGTGCAATGGTTCTTGTTACCTTACCCTCAGATATCTTCTTTGAATTATTATTCTGCAACATTTTTGTCATCTTCTAAATGTTATTTCTGAACCACTGGTCGTTTCAAGCAGCACTAAGGCCCTGTTACAAATATTGTACAAACACTGCCTATCAAATAAAATAGTACTACTTCTTTAAAAAGAAAACTCAAAAGGATGGAGTGGAACTGTACAATTAAAGATTTATTTGACTATCTGATTGCGACGCTGCTGAAGTTTTCCTTGGTAGTTATAAAGAGCAGCTGGATAATTGGGCGTGAGTATGACAGACCAGTATGCTCTTGGGCTTCAGCGCTGTCTGCTTTAAAACCCTTTAGGCATCTGTTTAATGTTCTCAGGCTCCTGAACCAGCTCATTATCTTAAACATACTCACCCCAAGAGCCCCAATGTCACTTAAAATTTACACAGGGTTGTATACCGATTGGGTTACATAATGCACAGATTGCTAATACAGTTACCCCTGTTGGTAGCAGTGGTACATGTCCCAGAATGAATGAGTTATCTGTATTTTCTTCACGATTCTAGAGTTGTGTTTGGGATGTGGCTGTCAGCTAAGCAATTTGGGGGCTTTTCTCTTTTGTGCTTGTGCACCATTTTTGTAACTGAGTGATTGGTCTATTGCCCCTCCCACAAGACACTAGTGAAGCTTCACCTCGATTCTAAGTCAACTTATTTGTCAAGAGACCTCCCAATCTGTCTCTGCTGGTGGGCAGTCTTCCATTGTTGTGTAGTGGCTGATCACTGATTCACCAGGCAGACTAGTTCTCCTGGACCGTAGCTGGCTTTGTCTTGAAGATGCCTCCTTATGGCTAGAGAATTGTTCAGCTTTAGTCTGTTACTGAACCAGGGCTCTTAAAACGTTGTCCGTAGAGACAGGGGATTCTTGCTGTGCTGCCAATGTTGACTCGTAACAGTGTTATGAAGATAGAAAAATATTTAATCTGAGAAAAGGTAGATGCCTAATCAAAGGCAGTGATTCTCCATGCACTGAAGCAGTCTGCTTTACACTTTTCCAACTATTTTAAATGTCAAGATATTTCAACTTAGTCTTAGTTGTCCTGGAACTTGATCTTAGTACCAGATGAGATGAAACACAGTAGATACCAAATATGTAACTTTAATAAATACATCGCCCTGTTTGGAGAAGGGCAGTGGGCTAGCTGATCTCCTGTGGTCATTTCCAACTTAAATTGTTCTATGATATTTTAAAAACTGAATATGAAGGTCTGCAGAGCATAAATTAAACTCTTTAGCAAATCCCCTTTTCTGTGTTTTATTAAATCTATGTTTGGAGTATGTGTTAAAGCTGTTCTACTGTGTTGCATTTATAGATCACTTTCAACGCTGGGCTTGGTTATATCATCGCTCGCTGACCAAGCAGCAGGGAAGGGGAAAAACAAGTTTGTGCCTTACAGAGATTCTGTACTCACATGGCTTCTCAAGGTAATGAGTATTTTCCGTTCACCCTGTTCATAAGGTGTCAGCTTAATAGTTTGTAGGATCATTGTAGCATACCTCTATGTACATGGACTTCTCATCTTTTTTTTAAAGAAATGAGCCAAGGAGCTCTCATAGCTACAAGTTATTCTGAGTGATAGGGACAGGTAAGTGTATCTTGTGTTAATTCTGTGTGAAGTCCTGTTTGGCTATTTTCAGTTATAGTGAAATCAAAGCGGGTGTACGTGACTGGAAATGTTTATGGATCATACTGGTTAGTTTATATCCAGAATACCTTTCAATGTTTAAACAGTAAACTTGTATTTTAAGTATCTTTGTAGAGATGTTGTGTAGTCTCAGAACAATTTTTAACCCTCAAACTTTCTGTGGATGCACTCTACAGGACAACTTGGGAGGAAACAGCCAAACTGCCATGATAGCCACAATTAGTCCAGCAGCAGACAACTATGAAGAAACACTTTCTACTCTGAGATATGCAGACAGAGCCAAAAGGATAGTTAATCATGCTGTGGTGAATGAAGATCCAAATGCTAGGGTCATCAGAGAATTACGTGAAGAAGTTGAAAAACTGAAAGAACAGCTCTCGCAAGCTGAGGTAACATTATTTACAGTACAATGTAAACTGAGTTTCCCAAGGAAATGTCATACTCTGTCTGGAAGACAAGCTTGCTTTTTAAGCCTGACAAAATGAGAAAAGGAAGTGTCTTCACTTTTTTTTAATAATTAAACTTGTTTCCTGAAATAAATCCAGTATAATGTTTGCTTATTTTGAATGACTTTTAAATGAGGACAGCATTGTACTGATGGTGACCCATGTCAGAATAGACTGTTCTTGAAGAAATGCATGTCAAGCAGTGCATGATGCAGCACAGATAAGAGCTAGGGTACAACTTCATTGTTATTAGCAGAAATTTTTTTTGCATTGGTGGACTACACGTATTGCAGTCCTAGTTAACAGGGGAGATCCCAGATAACTGGAGGTGTGACAATGTGACCCCCATCTACAAGAAGGGCTGGAAGGAGGATTCAGGGAACTACAGGCCTCTCAGCCTCACCTTGGTACCAGGGAAGATTATGGAGCAGATCGTCTTGAGTGCGCTCATCAGGCATGTGCAGGACAACCAGGGCATCAGGCCCAGCCAGCATGGGTTCATGAAAGGCAGGTCCTGCTTAACCAAGCTGATCTCCTATGATCAGGTGACCCGCCTAGTGAATGAGGGAAAGGCTCTGGATGTTGTCTGCCTGGACTTCAGTAAAGCCTTGGATAATGTCTCCCACAGCATTCTCCTAGAGAAGCTGGCAGCTCATGGCTTATACAGGTATACTGTTTGCTAGGTAAAAAACTGGCTGGATGGCCAAGCCCAGAGAGCTGTCGTTAAATCCAGTTGGCAGCTGGTCACAAGTGGTATTCCCCAGGGTTCAGTTTTGGACTCAGTCTTGTTAAACATCTTTGTCAGTGATCTGGTGAGGGGATTCAATGCTCCTTCAGTAAGTTTGCAGATGACACCAAATTGGGTGGGAGTGTTGATCTGCTTGAGGGCAGAGAGGCTCTGCAGAGGGATCTGGACAGACTGGATTGATGGGCCAAGGTCAATGTATGAGGTTCAACAAGGCCAAGTGCCAGGTCCTGAACTTGGGTCACAACAACCCCGTGCAACGCTACAGGCTTGGGGATGAGTGGTTGGAAAGCTGCCTGATGGAAATGGACCTTGGAGTGCTTTTCGACAGCCAGCTGAACATGAGCCAGCAGTGTGCCCAGGTGGCCAGGAAGGCCAGCGGCATCCTGGCTTATATCAGCAATAGCGTGGCCAGCTATTCGTAGGGAGGTGATCGTGCCCCTGTACTCGGCACTGGTGGCCACACCTCAAGTACTGTGCTCAGTTTTGGGCCCCTCGCCACAAGAAGGACGTTGAGGTGCTGGAGCGTGTCCAGAGAAGGGCAGCAAGGCTGGTGAAGGGTCTAGAGGAGAAGTCTTACAAGGAGCGACTGAGGGAGCTGAGGCAGTTTAGTCTGGAGAAGAGGAGGCTGAGGGGGGACCTTATTGCTCTCTACAGCTGCCTGAAAGGAGGTTGTAGTGAGGCAGGTGTTGGTCTCTTCTCCCAGGTGACTAGTGGTAGGATGAGAGACAGTGGCCTCAAGTTGCCTCAGGGGAGGTTTAGATTAGATATTAGGAAAGATTTCTTTACTGAAAAAGTTGTGAAGCATTGGAACAGGCTGCCCAAGGAAGTGGTGGAGTCACCATCCCTGGAGGTGTTCAAAAAACATGTAGATGTGGCACTTCAGGACATGGTTTAGTAGGTGTGGTGGTGATGGGTTGATGGTTGGACTGGATGATCTTAGAGGTGTTTTCTAACCTTAATGATTCTATGATGTCAAAAGGAAACATGTGAAAAGCCATGAATCTGGTATTGGACCACAAAGTACGTGGGAGATTTCTCTCCTTGACATCTGTGAAAATGTATAAAAAATTGTCAAAACTGCCACACTGAAACCATCAGCGATTTGCTTTACTGCCTTAACAGTTAACACTGTGTGGTTACTGCTTATCTTAGATTTATGCTTCTGGTTGGAGAACTACTGTAGCGTGTTGTTAGGTATGTTGGCGGGCTGTGGCTGAACACGATCAGTAGGAAGGTGTACAAAGTCTTACTCATTTTTAAAAAATTTTTTTTCTCATATACCTTCTGTTAAAACCAGTTATATAGGAGTTATAGGCCAGCCTGTTGAATTGTTACTTGGTGCTGGATGTTTCTGAGCCCTTTGCTTTTGTTTCCCGTTGTGAAATGAGAAGCCTGTGTTAGCTCCAGAGCATGCCTGCCTTCAAAGGTAATCAGCAGGGTCAGTGTGAAAGGTTTAATGCAACTCTAGGAACACTTAGGAAACCAAGATGGAACGGAAGGCTAAACATGGAGAGGAATTTGTATTTCAAATTACTGTTGGAAGAAAGACTTGTAAGCATTAGCTGTCTGTAGTTGAACAGCAAAGTTTTTAAATACACAAGATACTTTTATACAAACACTGAAGCTGGAGTGGCCAGGCCCAGAGATTTTGATGGTTCCATTAGCTTCCGGAGCTCTGTCGATCTTCAGCTGTTTCAGATCTGGACCCATTATAGGTTGATTCTGTCCTCTTCCTTTGCAAGTGACCTGTTTGTTTATCTTCTGCCGTGAAAAAACAGGGGATATGGTTGGAATCTATACTTGTTGCATTTCATCTTATGTTGCTGTGTTTAGTTTCCTTGTGCAAGCAAACATTGCAGTTGTAAGAGTAACTGAGGGTTTTTGCTAATTCCTGTCTTTTAGGCGATGAAGGCACCAGAACTGAAGGAAAAATTGGAAGAATCTGAAAAACTAATAAAAGAGCTAACAGTCACCTGGGAAGAAAAGCTAAGGAAAACAGAAGAAATTGCACAGGTATTTCAGAAATTTTGAGGAGGGATGGCCAAATACTCATATAGTGCAAGTCAGCTGAATTTCGTGAGCTGTAGTGGAATGTATTGTATTCCCCACCAGCTGTTTAGAATTCCACTGGATTTTTGTCTTCTCCCCTGGTTTCTGCTTGTAGAAACTAGAGTAGATGTAGCTATGTCACAATATCATTGATGAAAACTAATACTTGATTTTAAAATAAAACATCAAAATGTGTTTGGGTAGCGCAGTTATTTGCGGGACCACGGTGGGATCTTGGACGCGCTTCTCTTGAAGTGACAAAGAGAATGAAGAATTACAAAAGGATCAGAATTTTGGGCAGTATTTGTTGCCTTTACTTTTGGTGACTTAACCAGAGAAGGAAAATTTGTAGGTGTATTCACTACTGTTTGTTCATTATTGTACTTGAAATTTAAGACTTTTGGAGTCCAGTGTACTTTTCCATCATTTCCACCATCTATAGCTTGGAGAACAAGTATTGTTGGATTAGTTTGCTGTTCTAGTCCTAATGTTCCAGAAACATGCTTTGGTGCAACTACTGTTTAAATTTAAAAAAGAAAAAAAAAAAGGAGGGGGGGGCAGGGAGGAAAACCAGACCCAATCAGCCAAACAGAAAACTGCAGCCCCCAAACTGTAGCAAAGCAAAAAAGCAAAAGACGTGTGATCAAGTAGATGCTTTAGCTGAATTAATAATAATGCTGCAAAAGAATAAACCTAAACTGTGGCATTCTATTTTCTAAATTATCTATGACTATGATTATCTTTGAAGTAAATGAACTGAGACCAGTTTTTAACTAACGTAGAGGTTGAAAGCCACGTTGGATTACTTATGAGTAGCTCTAATAAAATCAATGGGGCTGCTTAGGTAAGTAAGTGCTGCTTTGGGGCAGCAGGTGTTTCAGGCTTAGGTCTGCCTTTGTATTGTTGGTGTGTGAAAATAAACTCTATTAAACATATGGTACCTGACCAATATCTTAATTTCTGTTTCTGGTAGCAATATACAGAATAGATGTTCAGCATGCGCATCTTCAGCTTTAGTTGCTCTGCTTTTATTTACTTGCTGTACTTGTCTCTAAACATTGCAGCAGGCAAGATTAACCTATTTTTGTGCTTGCAGGAGAGGCAAAGACAGCTAGAGAGCATGGGAATTTCCCTTGAGTCTTCAGGTATCAAGGTTGGAGATGACAAGTGTTACCTGGTGAACCTGAACGCAGACCCTGCGCTCAATGAGCTTTTGGTTTACTATTTAAAGGTAAGAATGTGAACAGGATGTTTACACAGAATGAAAGGACACTTATTGTTTTGAATTTCTGGCTCAGTTTCTTATTCAGAGTGTACTTAGATTTCTTAAGACTAGTTGCAGCAAAATAGGACAGGCCTCTTCCTGCTCTTTGGGCTTTTGCTCTCCCTTTGCAGTTCAGCTTCACTGTTTTCCTAATTGAACTCTTGGTTGGCAACAGTGCGAGAGGTGCTCAGTGTGTGCCAGTGTTGAGATAATTTCTAACTTTTCCAGACAGAATGTAAACAGAATTGCCTTTTGGGCTGAACCTGAAGTGAAAAGCTTTTGTTAGATGTAATTTTTTTTTTTTTTTTTTTTTTAGTGAACCGGGGATTGCTTTAAATATTCAATGAGTTAATTGTAAAGAGATGATGTTTAGTAGTAAATAGTAAGAGTAAACATAGATGACAAGAAAGCTTTCGAGAAAGGGGAAAAAACCCCACTGTTAAAAACTAGCAGAAATGTGTTTTCCTTGTGCCAGTAGCTTTCATACCATTCTGTTTAGCATAGTCTCATGTCAGAGTGAAATAGTGTCAAATACAAACCTAATGAGTTTGTAAGGAAACACGAGCTCCTTGTCAATAAGATAGGAAAGACAGTCCTGTCAATTTTTATAGTTACTTTTCTGCTTTAGTGGCTGAGGTAGGGCTTCTGTATTTGAACAGTAGCAGATAAAGCACAACTTCTCTGACAACAGCAAAGTATTGCAGCAGAATTTACAATACGGCTTGAAATTATGTAGAGATTAGTATGTTTAGTTGAGTTGCTATATCGCTGTTTGCTCAAATGCAGCCAACTCCATGCACCTCTTTTTACTATCCACGTTGTCCTCTATATAATCGCTGTGGTTCACTCATATGCCTGCATGACATGGCTGGTTTTCTTCACTATTTGCATTTATTGCTTGTATGCAACCATAGTCTGAGAAATATTTTTAAATCAGAACTTGTCAACTGCTTTATTTTGCTTTATCTAAAGCTGTATGACGATAAAGTGCAGAGCAGAAGAAGAGTTTGTGTGAACTTTCAGTCTTCAAATCTGGTGTGGTACCATTTCTGCTCTACAGAAGTGCTTAGCAAAGGAGAGTGTGTAGATTGTGCTGTCTCAGTGCTTTAGCTAATATTTTCTTAGTGACATAAACAGTGATAGTTTGATTGTCTCTTAGTAACAGCTTGTTTTCTAGGATCACACAAGAGTTGGTGCAGATACCTCTCAGGATATACAGCTCTTTGGTATAGGGATCCAACCAGAGCACTGTGAGATTGATATTGCTTTAGATGGAGAAGTTACACTCACACCAAAAGAAAATGCAAGGTAAGGAGGATTGGCAGCACCTTCCAGTGAAGTGTTTGTGTTTCTTTACTAGACGATAACTTACATGCCTTTTTATTTTACGTAGTCAGAAGTATCTTACATTCTGATCAATGAGTAGCTTCAATATGGGTGACTGAAACAGATACTTACAAGTGAAATTCAGTGGTAAAACTGGGATTTCCGCACACGTGTACGCACCCACCCACCTACTCTGCAGCACAACAGGCTATCAGTGGTTTGGCTCAGAATAAACCATTGCAACAAGGTATTCAGTAGGAATGAGGGACCATTGCTTGGCTGTATCTTGGGTGGTAACAAGATCACTGAGACGCTGCTGGCTGTCACAACCCGTGCAGTGGGATAGTGGGCTGTGACTTGGTGGAGGACGATAAATCATGAGTAGTTCTTGTCATAAAGTTCAATATTTAGTGAGAAGGAGGTGTTTTAAAGATCTGAAGATCTTTACATTCTTTTCTAAATCTCTAATTACTGTTGTGTCTAGTAAATATGCAGTGTGAAGTAACATTCCTCCTTTTGTTTCTACTTCTGTATTTTAATTATTTTTCATTTGAGGGGCACTGTGGCTTGTTGGGTAGCATCGTAAATATCTTTGTTGCTTCATCTCCAGTGGTGTGTGATAAGCAGTACCTTTGTCCTAGTTAATAGTCATGCCTGCTTGTCTGATATCTGAATATCTACATAATGTATAGATTAGTATTAGAATGAGAAACGAGTTTGAGAGACACCTCGTAAAAAATAATCTGATCTCATTCATTCTGGCTTCAGTAAAATACCTCTTAGCATTTGCGTTTTTCTTCTGCAGCCTACAGTACAAAATTTCAAACAGATGGGATTCAGACTTGTGGTGATAGAGTTACTGTACTGGAAATCAGGCATTTCGACTGGCAAGAACAAAGGCACATGTCAGTGGACAAAATAAATTCTATTTTACCCGTGCCTGATCTATAATGCTTAAATAGCTGTTCTTAAGATACTAGTGTCAACAGAAATTTAGTTACCAGAATTTCACTGAAAAAAAAAAATAAAAATCTAGTTTTAAATCAAATGCTTACATGTTTGTGTTGACTTTCTTCAGAGAGACAGCTGAATTCAGAACACTGCATCTGAAAAGACTTTTTCCATTTCACCGAAGTTTTTTTCCTCTTTCAAATAAAATTTTCTGCTTTGACTCACACATGCAAAAGTTCAAAAAAAGACCATTTTTCCAATTTTGTGATTGAAACCTAAATACAGTATACCAGATGTTCACATAAAATAAACCCTTGTAATAATAGAGACTCGATTTGTTGACAGCATGATACTTGGATCTAAGGGCGTTTTCTTACGCTTGAATGCAGAGTATGTTAACAATATGTTTTACAACTCTGACTTATATCTTGGAGAGCTTTATCAGTAGGTTTTGCATGCATTTAAGTTTACAGACTGTTGATAAGAAACAGGCAGTGACCCAGTTTGAGAAATAGGCATTTACAGAGAACTGTGCAACTAAAAGCAACCTTGTCTGTATGTATACTGGAGTTGTACCAGCCAAAGCCAGAGGAGAAAGGGGCTTTGTGTTGAATTCTGACAGTAGACATCAGACCAGTAACTTTCCCGTTGATTCTTTAATGAAAACCTGGCAGGTACAAATCACTGTCTACAAATCACTGTCTGTAGATGGGAGAAACAGTAGATGTTGTAGTTACATTTCAACCATCTATTTCACTGAAGTTGTATTTCCTTCTTTCAGATCCTGTGTAAATGGTGCACTGTTATGTTCTGTCACTCAGTTATGGCACGGAGATAGAATACTATGGGGAAACAACCACTTTTTTAGGTAATACTTGTTACTTACATTCCAGCCCTTTTACATTCAGCCTGTTCTTTTTCTCTTCCACTGTTCTGCATAAACTTTTTCGAAACTGAGTTTCAGTGTTTACACAGAATCAATTTACCAAAGAGGAAACGACGAGATTGGCTGAAAGACCTTGAGAAGGAAACTTCGTTAGGAGAGCATGATCTGGATGCAGCTAGTGAAGCTTCTTCAGAACCAGACTACAACTACGAGTTTGCACAAATGGAAGTTATTATGAAGACACTGAATAGTAATGGTGAGGCAACTGCCAGATAAAAATGTTCTTTTGGATTGTCTAACAAATTGAGCATGGAACTTAATTTCGGGGTAGAACAAGCGAGATACTTGCTCCAGGGACCTTTGGAGCATTTTCAGAAAAAGATATTTTACAGAAACAATGTTAGGCATATATATATATGTGTGTATTAAAAAAAACACCATATGTATATGCATATACACACAAATTAGTGGTTGGTTTGTGCCCTGACACACAATTTTATCTGCACATCTGCTGTCCCTTATAGTGCAGCTGAGTTGTAATCATATGCCTGTCAAATCGTCATCCGAGTCCTACTAACCTCTTGCTTTTGCAAGTTACTGCAGACAAAAGGGTGCTCCAGATATGGCTTGGTTAGTTGCGTCCTTTCTTTTAGATCAGGTATTACTGACACCGTTTTAACCTTAGCAAAAAAACACTGAAATTATAACAAACCAACAGTCAAATGTCAGCCAGCGTGGTTTTTAACACTTGATCACTCTCAATATTTTATTTAATCTTTGTTAAAACCTATTGTGATGCCTTTTTTGGACACTATAATAAAATACAGTATATGTAAAATAATAGTATGGCATATATAAAACAATACAGTATTTTCATGATTTCCAGAAGGCAAGCCATAGTTCATACAATATAATATGGTATGAAGAAAGGCTGAAAAACTTGGTAAACTGCTGAAGACTTTGTACAGGTTTTTTAATACACAAAATATGAGGGGCAAATACCTTCGGTTTTGGTCCCTAACCAGGAAGACAGAGTAGATGGTGTTTCTTTGCTTTCTCTTCTTCTTTCTTCATATCTTCACAGTATTTCTGTTGTTTGCTGTGATTTACTTGTTGAAATGCAGTATTTACTTTTTTCTTGGTCTCCTCTTATTCTTTAACTTTCTCAGTTGTGCCACTGAGTACAGCGTGATGGTTTCGTATGCTTGATGTTCTAGCAATAGTTTGCATGGTTTTTACAGTTTGATTTTAATTGGATTACTTATGTGAGTGAGTTACAGGGTCAGGTCATTTAAACTGATATGAAATTGCTGTTTGATAACAGAAATATTCTCATTATGGTTCACTCATACCAGGAGACGAATTTCAGATGAATCTGCCATCCTGGTGGTCTTCAGTGTTGTCATCCCTCCTGAAGATTCTGTTGCCTGTTTTAAGGCCTCAGACCATCCCGTATCTGTGCCAAAACTGGGACAAAGGTTTTGAACTCAATTGGCTCATGCATGAGACTGCTGGAGAAATTTGAAAGCATTAATTGATGCTTGATCTGCTTGTCACTAACTGGGGATTTGACTAAACTGTAGCAGTCTACAATGAGTCAGTGTTCTTTGAACAGGGGGGTCACATTTTTTGGTTTTCACGTGTTGTGATCTGGCTGATGCAAATGATTCCTCACAATATTTCAAGTGTCTTTACATTTTAGCTCAGTAGGCTTTTTTTGATTGTGGTCCAGGCCATTTTTTGTCTCGGTCAGTTGTTCTCTGCGTCTTTGCTCGAGAAGAGTACAGACCTTGCTGTTTCATTGGAGCGCGTTCCTCCCTAATGCACAGCGAATATTAACAGTCGTACGTGTCGCACGGTTTCAGAGGTGTCCTGACCCAGTTATTCTGCTTCTGGTCTCTTCTGCCCCCTCCCACATACGTGTTGCTTAACTAAGTTGGAGTAGCAAGTGAGAATAAAACCCTGACAAAACAAGTGGCTGTGAGGATCATAGGCTGGTCTTTTGATTCAAAGTTTGATAGCACTTCCAGGTTCTGTTCTTCTCAGTGGTGTAGCTAAAATAAAGCTTTTTTGACAGGCCTGCAGTTTGCTGTGTGAGATGTAAAGCAGCTTTGTTATTTATTTATTCTTCCTTAAAAGAAAAACTAAATATAGGTCAGGAATAAGAAACAATTGAATAACTGACAACAGTTATTTCTATTATCCTTATTCTCTGGAGAAACTCTAGGGGGGAATATACGGGTATTTTAAAAATCTGATTAGATAATTACTTCATATGCATGTATTGATATAGCCCAAAGCAGGCGGTTTTTCTTTTCCTTTGTTTTAGGTTTTTGGAGTTGTTTTTTCCCCCTGCTTGATCCATTTGAGAACAGTAACCCTCTTTAAATAAATAGCCTAGCTTCTCCAGGGCGCAAACGTATTTGTTTTTATGGCATGTAACCAGTACAACAGTGTCACATATTGCATCCGGCTCCAAAGAAACTCTGAGGAGAATGTGTAACTTTGAAAACAGCTGTAAAGAAAACATCCAGATTCTTTCCTCCCTTCAGCATGTTAACTTTCTTTGTGGGTTCTGTCAGATCAGCTTTGTACCGCTGATTTGTGATGCTGGTCAAACACACAATGCAGCAGAGAAGTTTACTTTATTCTTGTATACGCTGCAGTGATTAAGTAAGCAGTGTGATTAGGTTATGCAGCTTCTCTGGTACAGATCACGGTGAGGATTTTGGTGAAACTGAGGCAGCCTGTGTCATAACCTTCTAGCTTGCTTAGAAAAATGCACTTACGTGAAATGTTAAGGAATTTATTCGGAATTATTGTTACTGGATTAACAGATTCCAGATGTGAATTAAGTGACATGGCAGCAAGGTAATAAATGCTTTTCATCCTATGGAAGAAGTGTATTCCTAAAATGTTAATATTCTAACATTTTGCAGAGGATGAGTGGCACATGAATGGTCGTCTCAGGGCCACTGAACTCATGTCACATAAATATGTAAAGCATTGGGACTTAGGACTTTTAACACCACACGGAATCTGATGTGCGTTTGGCAGGCACTGGGTAGAATATTCCCTAATTTGACTTTCTGTGAGAAATCCAAAATTGTGGAACACAATGTTTAAATCTAACTTAGACACACAGTGGTTCTTTTGAATTGTGAAAAACTTGACTTTATTTTTTGATCATCTAACTAGATGGTTTATAATTCACACCACATTTGCTTTTTCACTATGGAAGGCTTGGGGTTTTCTGTGTAAACTCTCAAATGTTAAATTGAAGACTTCTAAAAGTGCAAATTTACCTTTTGCATTTCAATAGAAGCATAACTGTCATGAATGAGTGGTTAGGTCACTTAAATGATCACTCAAAGGCTTTGCAAGAAAAGATTTTAATGAAAATTTAGAAAATGTAATCTTACACAGTTTGTTGGCAAGATTCATTCTATGACTTAATAAATTTAATACATAATCAAAAGGGAATTCTGTATGGAAAATGATTTATACACAGTGTAAGAAAGTGCATAAAGGGATAGGGTGACCCTCCCATTGAGTCACTGGACCCTTTGCTTTCTGAACCCCTGCTCAGAGAGGAGCCTGCGTGCGGCTGGACCCAGACCCGGCCTTAGACCACAACGGTTCCTGTCTAAGGAATATGCTTAGTGGCAGTTCAGGGTGTGCTCACAGTGTAAAGAGAGAACAGAATCACAGGAATTTGGCAGCTGTTAATCACCATTTAACTTAGCATTTACTGAGTGATTACAAAGAATTTTCTGTTACATTCACAGTAGCAGAGTATGATGTTTTGAGTCGATTCACACACACACACACACGCAATCATAAAAATTCCCCTCGCGTCCAGTGAAATGCTCACTTCAAATCGAAGGATTTGTCAGCGGGCGAAGGCTGAGTCTGGAGGAGACCAGCCCAGGTGGCTGGCGAGTTACTGTGAGAGGCGCCCACCCAGAGGAGTTACTGGGCGCAGCGCTGCGGGGCAGAAGAGCTCAGAGGGCCTTGCTTGGTACCGCTTCTTGTGGGGTGTCAGGGTGAGTGACTTCAGGCATCAGTAACTTTCCATCCTGGTCACAATGCACATGAGCAACCCTGATGTTTAGACAGCAACCACACAACTCCCGCACTACCCAGAAGGTGCAGTTCTGACCTTCAGCAGCGGGTGCGACTCCAGGCACCGGGAGTTGTCGGTGCGGTCAGGGAGCGGCTGATGAGCCCAACTCACTGCTCTTGTACAAAGCCAAGGGAAGGGCCAAGTCGTCCCGATTCAATGCACAGCTCTTCCTGCAGTGCAAGCAGGAATACAGTGCTGGCTGCTTCTGGGATTGCCAGGCGTGGGCCGGGGGGGGCTGCCCCACCACAAGAACCCACCTCTTTTTTTCCCAAGCAGTAGGGGATTTCATCAACACTAGGAATTTATACACTAGGTTCTTGCATCTTCTTCCAAATATTTTCCATGGTATAGTTTGATCCTGTGGTGGTTGTGATCCTGTAAAGCTACATGGCTGAAAAGATCACACTGATGAAGGAAATCTGCTCGCTCAACTCAGAGCTGATCTTTGAGCCGTTTAGGAAAGTCTCATCTTGATGAGTCAGCCTTAGATTCATTTCCTGCGTTTGCAAACACAATAGAGGGCTTTAATTTCTTCCATGCTGCTTCTCTGTCTTCTGCATGATACCTGATTTCCCAGCTGTTCTTACACATAACTAAAACGGTTTTAGGAATTATGCAGTAAAACCTATGCGTGTGAAAGTAGTTCTGGTATTATCTGCAGAAGTTAGGAGAATGAGGATAATGCAGATCAACGTGAATAACTTGGTTTGTAGTCTAGAATATTAGAACTTGGTTCAGTCAGTTTTTGTTGCACTGTCTGTTTAAAAGCTAATAATAGCTAGCTGTCTTTCTGACAATGTCATGTACTAAAAATAATATTTCCATTTATTTTAAGACACTTTTATGCTTCAGTGATTTGCTATTTGGTTGCTGTTTATACTGACCGACTTTTAACTTTGTGTTTTTTAATTACCATTGTGGTGGTATTTTATGATGCCTTTGTGTGAAGCCAGTGATTTCTTCCACGCATGAGGCCACAGTAACAGCTTGCAGTAGTGTTTGTTTTCTGCCAAAAATAAAGATATGCTTTACATCAATCTTAATATTTCAAAAAAAGATGCTGAGAGGCAAAGAGAAACCTACTGTAACAAAAGAACTAAGGAAGTTGTTATACTTTGCTGAATACGGTAATGCTATATTTGTTTGTGAAGATACAAGGGATGCGTTTTTTGGGAGAATGTATGTGCATGTTATGGTGACCAGTATAACACTGTTGATGGTGAAAACCCTACAGAACCTTTCATGTGAATCCTCTATTGCATGCTATAGTAACCCAGTTTTTTTTTTCATGCAGCATTGTATTATCGGGAACCCTTGTGCAAAAGCTTACAGGACTGGGTTTTAGTAGTGAGGGCAAGGTGATTCATAACTAAATCACTGACATGTTTGGGTGGTGGATTTTGTTTTGTTTTGTTTTTCTTTTTCCTAACAAGCACGTCTCTAGTTCCAAAATGGGACAGTGTTAATTACATCTAGTGGTTTTTTTTTTCCCTCCTTTGTGACAGACTGGCATTCTTAAAAGTCACAGCAGCTCTTTTTTTACATATTTGCAAAATGAAAGAGGTATCACAAACAATTATTTTAAAGCTGAATTTTTTGTGTTGGAAAATCCTGGCATGTCGTAGAGCTGCAATGTTACTTCCCCTAATATTCCACCACTCCAACTATGGAAGTTCCTCCTCTCCCTTCCCCTTCTGATGTACAGAGTCAGCAATCTGTTAGGTGATGTGCTGTCACTCAGGTATTCGTCTAGATTTGTCCTCTTGCAAACCACTTTTTTTGCTGTATTTAAGCTTTCAGATATACATAGATGAAGCAGATGTAGACTGGTAGCATATAGAAGGAGCTTATTGCATGGAATTCATCTTTCAGAGGCAGAGTCTGGCGTTGGACCTAAAACCAGGAGTAGACAGAGTAATGTTTCTTTAATCTGAATGCAATTTAGGTTTAACCATAGCTGTTGTTTCAGGATAGAGTATCCAAACAGACGTTTGTTCTGGGTTGATACTAAGATAAAATGTGATTTGTAAAGCTAAATGCAGAAGTCCCCTCCACAATGTACTTTGTCTGTCTGTGCTGTGAAGTGCATTAGTGCAGCGTGGTGCATGACTAGTCAGACAATTTGTTTGTCTCGGTTTTCAGCTGCAGCTCTGCAACGTGTTTTATTCTCTGCCAAAATGGAGAAAGCAAATTACTTGTTACTTCCTTAAGTTGTTTCCTTTTCTGGTTAACATCATCTTCCCTTGTGTTTTGCTTTGTTTTCTTCTTATTAATTTGTTCCCTTCTCCACCTATTCTTTTTTTTCCCCACTGGGATTCTGGAACGTATTATAACTTCACAGTACTGAAGTATACAGTAGACAAGGGTCTTAACCATTGTTTTAGCCTCTTTGCATGCCATGATTTTTTTCTTGTTTGGATTTACTTATTTAATGCAATATTTATTATTTTGGCTTTTGTTTTGGGGGATGATGGTTATCTCATGTGTGCACAGACTCTGGGATATGTTGATTGCTGTTAACAAATAAATAATGAGCGTTCTGTAATGCTTAAATGGCATTTTCTCACTTTTCTTTTTTTTTCCTCTCTTTTTTTTTCTTTTTTCTTTTTAGACCCAGTACAAAATGTGGTCCATATCTTGGAGAAACAGTACTTGGAAGAGAAGCGGAGTGCTCTTGAGGAGCAGCGGTTGATGTATGAACGTGAGTTAGAGCTGCTGCGGCAGCAGCTCTCTCCAGAAAGGCAGCATCAGCATGGCAGTGACAGACTCTCCTACACTGCTCAGACTGCACAGCAGAAAGTAAACCTCTGGACAGAAGAGAGGTGAGAATACTGGAGTTAAAAGAATTAATAAGAACTACATAGGCTGAAAGATGGAGCTTGAACCATCTGTCAGAAAATTATAATATTTTTTGTTAGAGTTGACATGCAGTAGATCTCTGCCTCTCCCAGTGTGTTAGCATTTCATTTAAGAGTAGGTTCTGATGTGTGACATGCATACAAGATCTCCCCATTTGATATAATGCACAAATGAAATTTGAATTTAGCTTTTATTGATCAGCATTACAGCATTTTTTTATTTTTTTTAATAAGAAAAGTGCTTCTGAAATGCTTCGGTTAGCAGTTATTGTGTAAGTTACTTTGGAAAAAAGGAAAGGATAGCACAGAGGCAAATTTGTCAACTAAGACTAAGGAGTTTACTAAGGAGTATTGTGTGTTGAGAGTATACAGTGAGAGCACAGTATTTTGCAATCTAAAACCCATAAAAATACAGAAAATGGGAGTCTTTAAATGTTGTATGTATGTGTTTCTAAAAGTAAGCCCCGCTTTAGAAGAGAATTGCTGTGTATTTGAGAATTGCAGTTGTCAAAGAATGTATGTTTGAGCTGTTTAGGAAGCAAAAGGCTTGCCATGAGGTGAACAGGCCTCTCTGCAAAAGAACAGCACGTGGACTTAGGAGGATGTGAGCAGAGTGTAAGCCGCATGTGAGTGTTTGCACCTTGACAATGAGAGACACTTGCTCTCCATGTCATTGGGGAGAGAAGGTTGCCAACTCCATGGAGAAAAGTCCCAGGGGCAGCAACCAAGATGAATGAATTTTTCTGCATACAAAGAAGTATTGTTACTGGGTTAATGCAGCAGGAAGAATTACTAGATTTACTAACAGGTTTCTTGTAAGTTTCTTTTTAATCTATTTTCTTTTAAAACAGAAGCTTTGTTATTCACTCAACCTTTTTTGTATATGTATATAGTCTGTAGTTTCCTATTTTGATTCTTTTTTATTTATTCTCTACCATTTTAAAAAAAAGTCCATGTACAAGAGGAGTCTAAACAAAGATAGCCAAGATTGTGTTGCAGCTTTCAAATTCAGTGTATTGGAAATAGAACGGAACAGATCTTGATTAAGTTTTTCTGCAAGGTTCTATTTTGTGATTTCTGTGAACAAACTGTTCACCAGCGATGACTAGAATGCTTCCCATGCAAGTACAGGGAGAAGTAGTGCTGTGTTTCAGCTTTAATTAAAATAGTTGTTTGCCCTGTAAAAGCTAAAAACAGAAAAATTAGGAACTGAATATAAAGCATTGCAGAGTCATGGGTGGGATTTGCGGGCTCTTTTGGGGTACAGGAGGAGTGCAAAATGAGAAACATGCTAGTTGGAATCATTGCTATTCAGAACTGCTTTGAGCACAGCAAGGCCATCAACAAATCATTGATAACCCACTTCAGTAGCAGAGATGAGAACTGGGCTTACTGGCAAGGGAAGCAATACCTCTAAAAAGATGCAGCTGAGGGGAAAAGGAAGTAGCAAAAAAATTCTTGTCTGTCCTTGAGAGTTAAGAAAAAAATATAATTGACCAACTTAAAATTAAGCAACCACCATAACCATGTGATGACGTAAAAAATGAGAATCTGGGGTGATACCAAGGCAAAGTGTTCTGCCAGCCTTCTCAGTAGTTGTTAGGCATTTCTTAGGAGGAGCTGTGCTTTGAGCAAGCATTTTTGCCTCTGGGTTTCATGGGTGAATTCTTTACTCTGTATTAAACTGTTGAACTACTTGAGGACTGTGCTTTGCTGCATTGTAAAGAAGAGGAGAATGAATGCTCTTTGTAGTGATCAGTAAGGAGTCTCGTAATGTTGTGGTGGCACTGCTACTGAATTAGCAGTTTTCTGAAAGAACTAATTAGCAGTTTGCTGTCCTCCAGAAGATCCTCTTAAGTATACTTTTTATTTATAGTTCTAGAAGAGCTTTGGGCTTCTGAATAAAAAGGCAAAACAATTGAATCTTCTTAAATAGAAGATATTCAATTAAAAATTGAATCTTCTTAAACCAGAAGAAAATATTTGAGCGATTTCTGCTGTAAAAGCATGGCAACATGGTGGCGAGAGGGTGTTCACCAGCCAACTGGCCAGAGGGCAAGAAATGCAGGGAGAAAATGGGAAGACTGGATACGAAGAATGTGCGAAAAAGCTGAGTGTCTGGATTGCACGGGATTTGCTTAGTGCCATTTTAGCTGTCACTCTGTTGCCGTTGCAAATGAAGTTGAGCTCTGCACGTGGTTGTATCTGTCAGATCAGCTAGAGCACATTGCACAGGGCTTATGCTGGCTTTATGCTGACTGTGGAAGGACTGATGATGCCTGACCTGGCATTAAAACTTGTTGGCATAGAGTTAACCCATTGTAACTTTGAACAAATTTAGTTTGTCAGGGCAAGGAGGTGGGGGGTGTTGGGTAGCGGTGTACCGGACCAGAGGTTTAGTTCAACCTATTCTGTATGTGGCATTAGGAATCCCAGAGGCTTGCAATGACACCGCGTGAGTGTTGGATGCAAGTTTCCCTTGTCTGGCTTAAACTATTGCTTCAGGATTTCATGTTCAGTAGGTATTTGCTTTGGTTAATATCCTGATGGAGGCTGTCATATGTTTTGTGTAGTAAGAATTCAGAAGTCCTATCTCAAAATTTTTTTTTTGCTGAAGTTTCTGGCAGGGTGCTGGCACAGCTGTATACAGAAAAACACAACTGTAATAAGCACTACCCATAATAATTCGTTGAGTTCCTCATAAGGCCTCCTTGTAGTCTGAAGCCATTCCTTTCTCAGGAATCTAGCTAAGCCAAGATTGGCGTGGGAGCCTCTCCAAAAAGCTCGTCAGTGCCAGTTTTCCAGATCAAGGAGGGGACTGGCTGTAGCCGAATCCCACGGCTCTGACAGCACTCTTACAGATCAAAGCCACCTTCTGTTTCTCAAGCTAGGCAGCTGTCTCGCAGTGGTTGCAGGTGTAAGGCACTCTCAGTATTAAGTACTATTTAGTGAGTAATTGATGACTTGACTCTACCTTCATTTTCTGGGTGAATCCAAAATTACAGCTGCCTGTGGAATGTGTCACGTGTTACTCCCATGGTCTGGAATTGCTCATTTAATCTTGATGGTCTGGATAGCAGAAGCAAGAGGCAGAGGGAAAGGAGTTTTCTGTGTGTCACCAGGAGCAGATATGGAGGAAATGGGCTAAAAATCCACTGATAGTAGCAGCTATTTAAGATCCAGCAAAACCCACCGCTGTTGCAAACTTAGGCCAGATAGGGGAGAGAGACAAAGCTGCATGTTTTAGTGTGTTGAAGGCACTAAAATTCAGGGCTGCTTCTAACACTGCTGGTCATTTACCGCTTTGAGATGGTTATCAGGGAACCAGTGGAGTGCAATTTGAATTACCCGGGCTGTTCTTCGGGGTATTTTCAAAAAAGAAAGCCGCTCAAGAAGAATTCTGTTGGGGACTGAAAGGCATATTAACAGTTTTTTGTGGTTTGTACTGTAAAGACATAGAAAAGATCTGAGCTTGTCTGAATAAAGACAAATATGTGGACTTTGCCTGTATTCACAGCAAGGCCCATGAGTTTGCTTGTCCCTCCTACGCTTGTCTGTATTTTGCAGAAGTGAGGAGTGTATGTGCACAGTGTACTGTATTTCAGTAGGATGTGGCATAGAAAAGCCAAAAAGTCATACAGGGGAGTACGTGTTGCTGAAATACCTGAAGTTTGATCATGAGTTTTATGAAGATGATGAGATGCAGTAAGTGCTGTTGGGATTACAAAGAAATACCGAAAGGGGGATTTCACATTTGCTCAGAGGATAATTGTGATACTTTTAAACAGCAAATTAAAGATGAGAATCCCAGGTAAGAGCATATCTTAGTATCGCAGGTGTAGGTATAGTATGTGTCACAGCAGGTTTGCCAGGTGTTACGTTAGAACAGATTTGTTCAGACAGGCCTGAGAAACCTTTCTGGAATTTGTCCAGAGACTGTTAATTGTACAGAGTGCACAAGCTGTAACCTGTGCTCATTCATCTATTATTTAAAAGGTTCTTTGGGTGTATAGGACTTAAGATTTTTTTTTTTTTATTTTTTTATTTTTTTTTTTTTTAATGTGTATGCTGGAGGTGTCTTAAGTGTATGGAGGGAGGTCTGGGGGTCTGTAGCACTGCAAAGCCTTAGCCATGATGTAAAGCTGTGGCCTGCAGTGATTGCAGATTCCAACATCACGATCTGAGGAAAAAGCGGGTTTTATCAAGATGAAGTCTCACATGTTGGGACTGGTAGTTTCTGTGGAACAGGACTCCAGACTCAAGACAGACAGCTGCAATTATTTAATTTCTTGAAAATTAGGAATGTCCCTAGGGCTTTTGGCAAATCACTGTAACTGCCCTTTTATATAGGCATTACTGTGCTAGACTTACCTCGACAGTAGTGTGCTTGTTTAATACATGATCTTGGCTTTTCCTCGATAAAATTGTCTGACACTGTTTCGTGTTTGCTGACATAGCTATACAGCATTTCTTCTTAAACTTGTTTTAGAAAAGTCTTTGTTAGCACCACTGTTTGCAGCTTTCCAATAATAGAAATAGGTTTCTGTGTATTTTTCATGTTACCTACTGCACCACAGGGATGAATTGTTTCGACAGAGCCTGGCTAAACTTCGGGAGCAGATAGTAAAGGCAAATACACTGGTGAGAGAAGCAAACTTCTTAGCAGAAGAAATGAGTAAGCTAACAGATTATCAAGTAACACTCCAGATCCCTGCTGAAAACCTCAGCGCCAACAAAAAGGTAATGACAGCAAAGAATGCTGGAAAATGTAGTTTTATGGCTAATCTAAAAAATGTAGACGTATATAAAATTGATCTAACTTGAGGCCATAAAATACTGCTTTTGTTAGATTATGCATAGGCAAAATATGGATGTTACCTGACTTTAATATATTGAAAGTGATTAATTATAAGTGAAAATGGGAACATAGCATGAAGTATGGCTCTTATGCTTGAACGAACAGTATGATCACCATATGCACATGTGGTTTGTGAACAGACATTTGTGTTCTGTTACTGTAAAACCTGTATTTTTGAGTTACGCTTGCAAAAATTGTTGGTTTTTGTTACAGATGCCTGCAATTTTTTTGTCTTGAGGGTGTTCTAGTGCTACTGTGAATGTAATGATAGCAATTAGGATAATGTGCTTGTCATAAGTGATTTGACAGAGAGTGTTAATGTTCCTGTGTGAATGGTAGTTGTCTGAGAAGGACAAAGAGGTCTGGATCCTCAGATGTGTAAGGTATACTGTGTTTGAGGACAGAGATAGTGTGGCTGGCATGCAAAGGGAAGCTGCATATTCTGTGTTTTATTCCTTTTTAGGAAATAGGAGTAGTAGAGAGTTACTTACATGCATTTTTCCTGCAGTGATTATTTTTTCCTCTGATTTAGAGGGGTGCAATAGTAAGTGAGCCTGCTATTCAAGTGAGAAGAAAAGGAAAAGGTACTCAAGTATGGACTATTGAGAAACTAGAGAACAAACTGATTGACATGAGAGACCTCTATCAAGAGTGGAAGGAGAAAATTCCCGAGGTATTGTATATATTTTCTGAAAGGGATCAGGAATTGAGTTTGTTTTCTTTTAACTCCTTTTAATAGTCAACAGTTGGACTTGATGATCTTAGAGGTCTTTTCCAATCTTAATAATTCTGTGATTCTGTGAATATGTTGTACAGATAAAGTGCAATGACTTCGTATATGAAAGGGTAAGGTATCCTGGTTTTAAAACCAGAAAGAGAACAAAATAAAAACAACCAAACAAAAACCATGAATAATACTAAATGTTCCAAATGCCCGTGCGGAATAAAACACAGCTACGTCCTATCCTCATTTGTATTCTCAGATAGAAGTGTGCTGAGGTCAGATGTAACTGTGTGGAGGTAGTGACCTACGATACCATTAAGAGCATGTGTTTACCTGGCATAATACAGGTGCTGTGCAGATAGGCACCAGCTCTGAATGGAAGCGGAAAGCTGCGTTAGAAATAAAATTATTAAATTCCGATCGGTATCAAAGCTAGCAAGGACGCTGCTTAGGTACACTCAGGGTGCAGAACATATTAGTGAGGTAGACCTTGATCTTAAAATGTGAAGTGTTCTATAATTTCATTTGTATATCCCCCAGCCTTAGAGCAGTGAAGAGATCGGCTGAAGTTACATGGTCTATGTCAGTATCTCCATCAGAACTTGGGTGGCATTTCCTGAGGATTTAAGTGGTAGGCTAGCCTTGAGAAGTAAGCGTGAGGCTTGTCAAAAGCTTGCCTGTTTACTTGCGAGAGGTAGATGTGAGTTGTGGTGTTCCAGAAGATAGCCGCAAAGTATCCAGGTAGAAGCGCATGGGAGGTACGTCTTGCTCTGTTGTGGCTGACACAGAGTGCTTGAATTACTTCTATCGAGAATCATTCTCAGCTGTGTTTGAACAGCTGTTGTGCCGTTGTTACATGGCTTGGATGGGACAATGGGAATCTCTAAAATCATAACACAAGGGGAGGTCAAGAACTTCATCTGTGCCCACTAAAGACAATGATGATTTTGCTGCTGATGTTAGTAACAACTGGTTGCATATCCTGGGAATATATTAATATCTCTCCCTGAGCCAGGATCGTCCTTGCCATGACGTGTGTTGTCCGTAATGCAGGTGTTCTATGTGCTGCGTAGAAACACACAGGGCAAATGCATGTGTTGAGGACAGAGGAGGAGGAAAAGGGAAAGAGCTAACACGTCCACTGGGGAGTGCCAGGAATCTGGAATTCTTTGTGGCCACCTGTGGGGTACTTACGTTGAAAATGCTGCAGATGGGACCTCAGCCCTGTGGGAACCTCAGGAGCTCTTGCAGGCCTGAGCGGGACTCCTCCCGCACCTTCCCCTTGCCCTCGCTGTGGTACCCGGCACACAGACCACTGTTCAACCCGGGAATGATTTGTCCTCTCACTTCAAAAGAGTAAACAGAGCGGAAAAAGTAAGGCGAAAGTTTTTGAAATGGATGGCTGTTGTGCTTGCTCGTGGTAGAATCTGGTTTGTCTTGACATCACTGAAAAATGCAGGTCATTATATTGCTATTTACTGTAGTAAAGAAAGGACTGTACGATACGTGATCCCAAAGATTTCATTTCCGATGTGTGATGTGCTCCTCGTCTCTGTCTACGTGTGTGACGGGACAGAACGACAAAGACGGGTAGTGACTGAATTCTCGCGCTGTGCGGCTGTTTGGTTTCACGTTACTGCGCTGATGGTTCCCGGCCTAACTTCTGTGGCCTCCCGAGCAGGTAAGGAAGCTGACCGGCAGGAGAAGCGACCCATTTTACGAGGCGCAGGAGAACCACAACCTCATCGGCGTGGCCAACGTCTTCCTGGAGTGCCTCTTC